ATCATATTAGTTTGCCTATAAAGTTTCAGAGTTTTTGGATAAACGGTCTCTGAGATATCAGTTTATTGGCATAACAACGCTTTTTATATGGCTATTATGTAATGCATAAATATTTTGGAAAGTCCATATTCTGGAGATAATTTTTCCAGAAATTCTGAAACTTTGTAGGCACACTGGTCTGATTATGGCCGTATAGCCGAGTGATTACAAGTTAATGGTACAATGACAGTGGTTTATGCTGTGCAAATTCAAGTGACAAAACGACCGGCAGGTTGAAACAAACTTTCGATTAGCTACAATGCAATTTTTTTTTCATTATCGAAACTTCAGTTTTTGTCGGTAAAAATGAAAAAAGTGAACTTACCTAATTTCAGGCCAAAATAAATTCGAAATTTCTCCATTTGGTTCAGACGATCAGCCGCTTTTATTGCTGGTTCAGTGTTTTCCTCGATTAACTCATGTATGACAGATTTGGTAAGCTGATAATTGATCAATGAAGAGTTCATCGATAATACCCGAACTGTTCACCGAGTGGGACACAACGATTTCTTATGATCGAAGTATTTCCCTTCGGTTATAAGACGGAACAGAACGAATAATAGAAACTCCTTTCTAGTACAGTGATAGTACAGCTGTCCGGAAAACAGAAGATGAAGGTTCGATTCCTTGCGAAGGGATATTACTCTGTTGTTCCGTTCTGTTGTCATATCATCACGTTGCTGTCTCGCTGATAACTGAGTTTAAAGTTGAAATAAGTTTAATGTCGATGCATAAAATAGAACGACTATAGAACATATTTTGCAATTAAACACGAATGTCTGGAAATTTCTCGCAAGTAGAGGTGTTTTTAAGTTTTAGAGTTTGACTGGATTGAATAACATAATCACTGGATCGAACATTTATTCTCAGGAGATAAACAGGAGGGTTTTATAAAATATGACCTAAGAGAAGTGTTGTAGCATATAGCAGTAGAAATGTGGACCCAGTCCCCAGCCGTTCTCTCCTGCTCTCTCCTACATAACCGTATATTGTCTGCGAAGTAGTGACATTCTGGGCACATGAGTAGCTTAATAAGCATCATTATCAAGGATGGCAGTAAGCTACTTCTCCAGTTTGTCGTCACAACAACCACAGACCATATACGAATAATGTCTCGCTGTAATCTCTTAGCTCCTTACTTATTGTATTACTAGAGGATTAAGTAAAGCGATGGTGAAGAAACATGTCCGAAAATAAATAGAATAAAACAGTCTCCCTATGATTAGCAGCAGCAACCACATCGTGTTTCACATTTTAATCCCTCAAAGATTGTGCTAACAGTTTTTTCGGCCATAAATTGTTTTTGAAATTGTTAACAATTTTTGATTGATCTAGATATTTTTCGGTAGTCTATTGTTTGGTAGAGCAGTATAATGATTATCTACTATTAGAAATTTATTTTCTGTGAAAATCTTCTTTATCTCGAGAATACAACATTTCAATCAAATTTCTTTTTTTAAGGATTTAACTTCAATTCATTTTTCTTTTGTTTTCCAGATGATTTTTGTAAATTAATTTGAACTCGAATTTTGTTAGTTAATTTTAAAATTTTTCTTTGTGTAATTATTGATTCGATAGACTTAATTTTTTTATCAATTCAATGTGAATAACTGTTCGATCGATCTATACATCAAAAAGAATAATCAACACAGAATGTTAACAACATGAGGATTTTTTATGTTGTGTCGATGATTGTGGCGATGTGGTCACTGTAATTTTTGTTTTTCGACTAGTTGTTTGTTCTTTGCTGTCGATTTGATTTTCTTTGAGATTTTGAAGTAATGATTGATTTTGTAAAATGCATAAAATTAAATGTTGAAACATAGTTTGTACATTATCTCCACGACAAGCTGATATATTAAATATTGACATTTGATAATGTGAAGCAAATGTATCAGCTCGTTTAAAAAAATTATCACGATAGGATGAATCATAATCTTTTTCAAGTAAATCAATTTTATTACAGGCAAGTACACATTCAACAGAATCAAATGATGATTTTTCTCGAAGACTTTTATACCAATAATTTTCAAGACGTTCAAATGTATTTATATCAGTTGTATCAGCCATAAATATTGCACCATGACATTGTCGAAAATGTCGATCAGAAACAGCTTCGAATCGATCACTACCTGGACAATCGTTGAGTTGAAGTATAATAACATATTTATCTTCGAATAAAGAATCCAAATAGAAAAAGAAAATATCTGTTGCCAATGTAGTTTTATGTATGCGATTTGTTTGAGGTTGACCATATTCAACATTTGAGGCAAGACATGATTTACCAACATTTGGTGGACCCAGAAGAGATATTATTATTTTTAATTTCGGATTAGTTTTCCATTGATCATTATGTGGACGACCACGATGAAGAGTAAAACAACGAAAATTCGATATTGACCTGATTTCACTCTGTTGACGACGAAATTCTTCAATTATCGATTTAAGATTATAATTAATTACAAATGTTTGACTTTTTAATTGGTTATTTGTTAATGGAGATGTATTATGTTCCTTGAGCCAACACTCCAATGCAGATTTTTCATAGGAATGTCCCTTAAAATAAGAAAAAATCAATAACTCAATTAAGACTTCCATTATTAATATGCTGATCAGTATTTTTTAATACTTCAATCGAGCGGAAAATAGTAGAGACTTCAGGATTGAAGTCTTGAGTCTGCTGTTTTTCCTTCGTTTTTTATTTAAAAAAAAACAAATATATTCTTTGAATTGGAAAGGAATCTGAGAGACAAAAAAAATCGACTTACATCTTCAACTAATAGAACAGGATTTTCCATAATATCTTGTGTTATAGGACAAATAAAATTCAAAGGTATTGAAGAAGTATTTGCCATTATCAATAAGAATTTATTGCAATGGATGGAATAGTTTATTAATCAAAGTCTATTGGTAAGAGAAAATTAAAATATATGAAGAATTTTAATAAAAACTGTTTTTAAGTAAAAATTGGTAGTTACCAGAAGAAAGAATAATCGAGAAGAATGGCAATTTCCAACAGCAAAAAGAATGAATCATCAAAATTTTTCTCCATTTATACTATTGAAATGACATTATCTTCTTTGTTTTTGTCACATGACTCCGTCAACAAAAAGCCAAGCTTACACATGTTTTTTTTCGCGTTCTTTTATAAACATTTTTTTCTGTAGAGAAATCGGCAACACAGCGAAAGACCATGGTTGATTTTGTTTTGATGACAAATACTCTATTTTACCACTTATATTGAACATGTTTATTGAGAATATTAAATGTCTCGATAAAAAAGATGTCCATATGAAATAGTTGTGCATTGGTATTGGAATCGATTTGTGAATGATGAATTCTTTTTTTTTTATCTTTCTTATTGTCGATTTTAGTTAAGATTTCAACCATTTTAAAATGCATCCCTGTCGTTATGTTGGCAAAAGTATCAATTAAAATAACGATTCAATATTATTATTGAAACAAGGTAGATTTTTCAATTTTCTATAGGAATTTTTTTCAATAGGTAAAATGTGAAAAAACTGAATTCTTCGTGGCGACGGGAGGCATCGTCACATAGAGAAAATGTTTTTTTTTCCAATAAAGATCATTCTTTTTATTGGAAGAAAAAGAGGACGTGGACACCTTACTTTTCAAAAACTTTCCTTGCACCTTTCCAGTTCTCAGAAAACTGATACTGCAAGCTCAGTCTCTCACTTTTATTTCCTTTACTATATCTCTTCGCAACTAAAAAAAAACAAAAGACAAATGTTTTTATCATTTGCATACACGAATTTCTCACTGATAGGAATCCACATGTGTCAAGTAAAGTTGAAATTTAGACACAATTAAACGGAAGTATTAAAAGATTTCAAAACAAACAAAATTGAAAAAAATGACAATAACAAACTGATCATATATCGGCTTCACCGAGCGTAACACGATGACGTTTTGGCTAAAGTATTTTTAATCTTTCTCAGTAATTGGAGCAATTAAAAATCTAATTGTTTCGTTAAAAGGTACGTCTCTATGCTCCCCTTCCATCCCCGAAAATCTGAGTTCATTTGGCTTGCCCATTTGGAAATTATAGCAAAAATAATTACATAGTGAAACGTGATGACGAAAAAGGGCAAAAATTTGAGGACAGCGTGTTTGTTGTTGCTCTTCTACGAATATCTGCCATATTGGAAAAAATGATTCAAAGAAGACTTGTAGCCGACAGTATGGAGTATCCAACGGAAGAAAAAGAATGCTCAAATATACTATTTATTTACATCAGATTTCGTTTTAATTAACGTAATGCGATGATGAAAATCAAGATTCAGAACACACTTATTTGCTTTCAAGATCTTCTAAGTACTGTAGTTACTAAATTTAACAACATCGCTTCTTGCGAGAAGAAACAAATCGTTTTTAGTCGCTTTGTACTAGAATATATTAATCAAAAATAGTGATTTTCGAAGTTGATGGTGTCATAAAAGGTGACGCGTTATTCGGTGAAGCCGATATATTAATATTAAGTTATGTTTAACATTAATTGAAATCTAGTCAATTTTCAGAACTTGTAGAGTTCGCTAGTATATTCAGTACAAATCAAATTTGTCTTAGTAAGCTCCGACGAAAAAAAGAAGAAAGGATATTTAAGCTTATGTTTATTTGAGTAGAATTTTTCATGAATGTGGGTGTGGGTAAAGAGAAGATTCATACTCACACCCTTATAAATGAACATGAGAAAATTGAAAATGACAAGCTAGTAGATGAGATGCTGAGTCATTTTTTCGATTATCATCTTTTTTATAAATGTCAGATGATATTGTAGTTACAGTGACAACTAAAGAAATTTCAAACAAATGAGTATCATTGAATATATTTTGATAGAAAACATTTTGCTTCACGTTTTACTAACTTTTAAAGTTTATAGAAAATTCGAGATGATTGAAATAAAATGAATGTACGCGAAAGAGTTCTTATGGCAATGAATTTCACCAACATCGGCTACGAATATATTCATTTAATTCTGATTTAGCACCACTAAATGTAAGTGCATCGCCGACAATACTTGCATAAGAACCCTGATCGTATGTATATGGATAGGCCATTTTTGCTACTTCAAGTTTTGCATTATCAAACGAGAGTAATTTCATTAATTGTACGACTTGCCATGTTGATATGATTTCGACTGATTGTATTGTTGTTTTTATTATATCGACTTGATTGTCACTAAAACTGGCTTTTTTGACCGAGTTAATCAAATTGTCGAAAGTTGATGAATTCATTACGAATAAAATTCTATATTATTTAATAATTAGAAAAAAATAAACAGAAATTTAATTTTTTTTTTCAAAATAATTTTTACAATTCTTTTTTTAGTTTAGAAAATATAAAATCCAATGATATTTATTTGTATCTAACTTCGAAGAGTAATTTATTTTATTTTTATTAGTGATCTTCTTGCAAGATATACCTTCATTAATCAAGCATTCCTAACATCGATCAAATCTTTCATCAGTTTTATTATATTCAGAGCCTGTACAAAGGTCTCAACATGAGAACAAACTCTAGAAGAATATGTCTCATAAAAATACTCAAAAACTCTTGTTAATAATATTCAATAATAATGAATAAATCTTCTTGCTTTTGACAAAAATGATCGACCAGTGAAATTAAAGAAGATTTGTGAAGTATTCAAGCAAGTTATATGAGTATGTCGGAATAAGTGCACCTTTTATAGGCAAGCCTCTCGTTTGCAAAATACTTTTCTAAGTTGGAAAAAAAAACGTATTAATAAGACATATTTTCAAATAAGTAATGAAAAGAATTACTAAAGACAAATATACTCTTGATTTCCAGTTGGTTTAGAAATTAAGAAAAGACGAATTTGTTGTATTCAAATAAATAATTCCATTTGTTTTTCTATGTGATCAAATGAAAGATCGAATTTATGTTAAAATTTTAGTCAAAGTTGAAATAAATTAATCATTGATATTTCGATGAATTTTATTTCAACATGAATAATTCTATAAGACATTATCGTAAAAGAAATTCGAGAATAAGCAAATAATTAAATATTTATTTGATTTCGTTTGGCATTATTTTTTCTTCTATTTTCATTCTTATTCTGTACATATTATAATCAAAATTATTTTAAGAACAAAAAATCGAATATGATCAATATACTGACAATATGATAATTAATCATAAAAAACAGTAACATTCATTGATAATAAAAACCTCTGTGAAAGATGTAGGTATGGGAGTTGCGCTTCATTTCACACAAACCCTAGAATTTTCTGAAACTATCTAACTGTTGTCGTCAATGTTGCTCATCCCCTTTTCTTTTCTATTGATAAATAACTATGGAAAAGGAATCTGATATTATTGCCCTTGGTTGTTAAGATATGTAAACGGAGGGTTCGGGCCGTAGAACTTCGACTTAAAACTTACACTTACTAGTTTCTTCGAAAATATACGTGAGATCTACAAAACGGCTAAAACGAATCGAACCGATAATCAACTAAAAGATGAATGAATCAGGCAAATAATGATCTCACGATAAATGTGTCATTTAATCTTATTATGAATTATTTTCTTTCTTCTTTGTAACTGAAGTATTCATAGGTGTATGATTTTATTTTGAAATCTGATTCAAGTACATATTCATATCATTTCTTAGTTCTCTTTTTCACTAAGAATTTTTATTAATATCTATAAACATATAGAGATGGATTGATGGTGATATTTTATTTACCGATGCAATCATTTATAATAGTTGTGAACACAAGATGGCAAGAGAGAACAAAAACAAAACGAAAATTACTATTAAACAAAAGAAAAGACTTGCATTCTTTAAATTGAAATAATACAGATTATACAGAAATATTATTGAATAGTAGTTACCTCTATGAATTATTTTCTATAGATGATTTTCAATAAATACAAATAATTGAAAGATACCGAATTAAATTTTGCATGAATGTGTTCTCATTCTATACACTTTCTCTTCTTTAACCTGATTATTTTTATTGCTGTTGACATTTAAATGAACTTTTTTCAATCAGGGTGTGGATGTGTAAGTCTGGGTCTAGATATGAATGTGAACCATCTTTTCACTCACCTGACATCTTCTTACATTCATATTTTCAGCCTGAGGTGTGAATACATGGCGTCCTACCCAAGTGTTCATGACTACACTTGAATAAATGTTTTGGTTTCCTTATCTTTAGACATAACAACTGCATAAAAACGCTGGTTAAATATTTGCATGAAGATACTTTTTCTCTTATCGATAAATTTTATGATATTTGTGCAGCATACGAAGAAACTTTGCTGGAAAAAACCAAGATTGTTCTAGCACATGAAACGGTAACACTTCAAATATATTTCAAGTAAGGTTTTTTTTTCGATGACTAAGCCTCTTAATGTCGTGAATTCGAAACTACTCACGAGTGCTACCAATATCAGTTTTCTCTTTTGCTTGCAGAAGAAAGAAAATGAACATTATCATTACAAGTATTGTTTGTCTTATTCTGATTAGTAAGGGTGTGGGTGTGGGTGTGGAGTTGAGGTATTGTCTGACTTATTATTTTTGATTGTGTATCATAATTTCGAGTCTTCGGTATTTATAGGACACTCAACTAGAAATAGCATTAATCAAAATGTTGTTTATCAACAAAAATATGATTGGTATCTACTATTATCTAACAAAGGTAATAAATCTTGCATTTCTTTCAAATAGAAACGAAACTATACAAACTTAATTTAGGACAACAATTTATCCATAAAAGTTAGTAAAATTGAAAAGATTTTTGGTTTTGTTAACTCAAATTTGCATTTTTTTTAATTGTAATTTGACTAGATACCAATAAATTTATGACTCAATTCAATTATAATGAAGATGATGATCAGATGAAATGTTATCAAGTAGCAGACGAAATGCCAGATGATCAATCATATGAAGTGAAAGACCAAACGAGAATTGAATCAGCTCCTGACATGGATTCGACACTGTATCAAGAAGAATACAAATATTGTTCGCTGTCGTCTGATGATCTGAATGGGTTTTCCAACTGTTTCAATGGGAATAACCAGATTTTATACAATATTAATCAACGTAGTGCATCTGATGGAAGCTTCTTGATGTGGTAAGTTGAGTAAGAAACAAAAGATCAAACACATACTGTCATCAAATTTTATCTGCATGTAGACAGCTTAGTTCTGCTTCAAACTATTAGTCGTTGAAGTCAGTTACACGAGGAAAGTATAACACTCACACCCATCAGTAGGTTTGCTGAAAAACATATGAACTATTCACAGGAACTGAATGGAAAAATATGTACTTCTAAATCTGTAACCATTTTACACCAATAAGTGAGCTGAGAACAATTTATTTATCATTAGAGTAGATAGAGTTTCGAGATAAAAATGCAGAAAAAATTTATATCTATGTTCTCTCTCTGTTTTTCAATACTACTCTACATTTATCTTTGAAAGCAGTATACTTATTATATACTGATCCAGCTTTTTCTCAACGTTTTCTTGGGAATGTTTCAATACATTGTTAATATTTAGCTTTGTTGCAACAACACGCATCCAAAATGATTTCAAATACTTTTCGACAGTGTCATAATTTTGCTTTTATTTGTACTTTTTTGAGATTATTATATCAAATGTTTAATTCACACTAGGAATCTTTTGATCCCAAAGTATCGAAACAGCGAGAGTTCTTGATTGTTTCTGCTACCATTTCGCATAGACAAAATCTTAGCCAATTCAGTCGCTTTTTTTTTATTATTATTATTAAGTTTCTCCATGTTCTCAAAGTATGTAAGTACGCATTTGTGTTTTTAGCTGTGAGAAAAAAACACCATCCAATGATCCGCAAGTTCCTGTTGATCTGTGTTGGTGAGTGAGTAAGTATATAATGAGTCGCTTTTTTTCTACTTGCAGATCCCTAGCATCAGAATACTGCAGGTACTCGATGTAATTAACTGTATTATTATCGGCATCAGAATTTAAGATGTTCGGGTGTTTTTTGAATAACTTTCGACAGAAACAATATGGAGACCGATAGTTTTCAACATTTGATAGTCAAAATCCAGGAGAATATTTTTTATAAGCGAAAACGTTTCTAAGAAAAAATATCCAACGATTTATTTCGGAAGATTTAAACTTAACAGGTGATATTCATAAAACCCTACGACTTCTGTCTCTCTCTTCAGGTGAGAGACCTTTCTAAACACAGAAACATAGATTTTCGGCCATGCTAAACGTGGCGACAATATTTCTTGTTTGTTTAGAATAACACAGTTTTCTTGATCATACCCACACATGATTATTATTATACTGTGTTTCTGTATGAAAAACGCTCTGTTAACGATCAATCCACTTTCTACACTTGAATACAATACAAAATATGAAGAAAAATAATTTCCTAATAAAAAAAGCTCAGTTCTACCATCACTATGGATGTGAATATATTTGTGAGTGTGGCTCAAGCACAAAACCCATGCCCACATCCTTTTCGAAAGATTCTCTGAAAAGTCGATCTTTGAATTTTGTTTTTCTTAGAAAATATTTTGCTTACGAAAATATGCCTTTGGGTCTGGGCTATTGAATGTTGGAAAGCGCAGGTCTTCATCTTGTTCCTGTCGAAAGTTATTCAAAGAACACCCGAGTGCCTTGAATCTGGGCATCGATAATAGTTATTAAAAAATTTTCTTGTCTCTCGGGTACAGGGTTTTTAACTGTCAGTCTGATACAATGATACTTTCAATAATGGAAGAATTTCAAAAACGGGAAGATGATTTTTGGAAAGAACATGATAATAACAAACAGAACATTTAAAGTGAATAAAGTCGTCCGATATAGTGATTCAATCAGTGAAAACATTTCGATATCTGGTATAAGTTACAAACTGCACTAATATTCTCCGCTTCAAATATGTTTTTTCAATCACTATTATAGTATTTGACAATGGTATCAAGCGCACATGGATCATCCCACTAGCACGATTCAAATGTACTTTAGAACCGATTTTAAGGCAGACATCATATGGTATACTCTGGATCAATTCAAAAAAAGAGGTAATTTAAATTTCTATTGTTTAATCATTGGTGACTTTATATAAAAGAAATCATTCAAATATTTGTGTTTGACCTATATTTATCGTTTGAATAATATACTGAAAAGCTTCAATTGACATTTTAGATTCTGATCATCCTATTATATCGTTGTCGATCGTTGAAGTACTATTACAAGAGTTCCTAGTCCTTGTTTAATACTATTGAATATTAGAATCAAACGAATTAACATAGACTACTGGTAATCAAAATTGTGAATTAGGCAAATTTTAGGCTGTATTCCTCGTAAAAAGAGATTTGAAATGTAGAGTAATTTCCAAAAAAAAATCGGGCCTAGTAATTCTCACTGATGCTCTGACAAACATTATTCTTTCTTTTAATTTTAGTATAGTCCAAGAGCCGACAAAGAACATTCTTTGATAAGTTTTTTTCATTTGCAATTTCAGTTTCTTCATTAAACTTCATCAAGATTTGTTGAAAGTATTTTCAATTGGCTCTTTTTTTTTAATATGAACGTCAATTTTAGAAATCTTTTTCTTATTTTCCCGTGAAATAAAAAAGGCTAAGAAGTTTTTGACCAAAGTCGACATTTTTAGAAGTTTTACATGTTCTTCTGTTCGTCTCAAAACAGTTTGTGAGTTTCAACTTTTCAACACTATATGTGTCGCTTAAAATTTTCTCTAATTGTTACAATGAATAAAGAAGGCTCATCCAATAGTTGTAACCGTATTGTGGAACTTTTATTATTACTTTCTATCTCAAGAATTAAATGCCTCATTTGTTTTCTGAAGGCAAATGAAAAAGTATAAAAAATATCACCATAATGGTTTCTTTGAATGATATCGAACTACGCTAAAAAGAAACAAAATCAAATGAACTCTTTCGAGTCAGTAGTTGGAATTATAAGACCAAGTTCTCTTTTCGAATTACTCTACATATCACGATTTACTAAATCAATGTATATGAATTTGTGAAATTCTCCTTATGCATCATAGAAAAAGCTGAAAGATGCACACTAAATGAATGATTCATTTGTTTGAGCTGAAAAAAACTCCTACAGATTTATGGAACTCAGTTGCTATATTTAACAATAGGAGGATAATCATATGAATTTACTGTTAAATTTTCAAAAATATTACTATCCATATTTTGCACTAAAAAAATCTATACTGATCTATTTAATCGAGTTTCAATGACTACAAACATATTTGCAAGGGTAACTAAGATTGACAATATAATTATAAAAAAAAAAAAAACGTTTTAAATCGTCACACCAATAGCTTGCTTCAATTTTTTTTTATTGAGAACCTTGTTCTTCCAGATCTTTCTAGGTTATAAAATTGTGACACAACTATGTACCAGGAGAAAATGAACACTTTCTTTTGTTTCTTTCACTACTGTCGAGAAACTATTTTTATTTGTTTCATAATGTATATTTAGATCTTTATTGTGTAAAGTCTCCATGGAACGTGGAGTCCTCCTAAAGGACATCCTAGAATTGTCAATTGAAAGCTCGAAATTTCGAATGAAACCTCGTCTCGAGAGTTCAATGAAGAAATTATGGTCATCGATTTCAGTATCAATCGGAGACTGGATCCTTATGATATTAACAAATATTATATCGTTAGATAAATGTCTGTATCTCGAGTACTGTTTTAACAGTAGGTTTGAAGCAAATAAGTCAAAGCGACTTATTGGGCTATTCGCCGTTCCAATAAACCATTCTGATGAAAAAAATCTGTGTTTTCAACTAAGAGACTTCAAAGAAAATAAGGTATTCTTATCTTTAGTAATTAAAAAAAATAAAAAATGTATGGACATTAATTTATGTTTTTTACTAGTCATGTAAACGGATTTCGTTGTATGATTCATGTTTCAACTGATCAGAACAGAATAATGGCAGTCATGATTCATATTACATTTTATGCCTATTCGTCGAGTAAGCATAAAATCTGCTTGAGATAATATGAAAACAGAATTTTATAGGTTATTCAATTAAAAAACTATGTTTATGTTTAGATATTTGAAAAAAAAATCCAAATGACAATTAATTATTGTCCAAAGGTTTTCAATCAACATAATTCTAATCAATATGTGTTCGGTAACAATGTCCTTGAATATTTATAATTGTATTTTGAATCTTATTGAAACAATTTATTGAGATTCATTTAAAATAAAGATCCATAAAAACCTTCATCTTATATTCTACTTTGAAAAATGTGTGGATATAGATCTTCTGTTTATCAACACTCATATTCCCTGTTTTGGGAAAACTATTTTTATAGAACATATTTATTTTATTTATATTGTTGAAGAATATCAATTTATCAAAATTATTAAAAATACCGATTCAGTTGTTTATCTTTTAGTAAACAAGACAAATATTGAATAGATTTAGAAAAAAAAAAAGGATTTTTTTGTAAAAATATTTTCAATTGATTTATGTTAAAAGTCATGAAAATATTCGAAAAAAAAGATTTATTTGAATTCGTAAAATATTCTTTGATAAATTGATAATTAATTAAGTTTATTTGAAAATATAAAAAAGAAGAACAAATATCAATTGAAAGTATATTTGTGTGAGTGTTTTTTTTGTAAAACTCACATATATTTTGGAAGAAAATTGTATATATCAAAGTTCATTGAGAGAAAGAATGGTGTGCTTGAAAGCTTACTGAACAATCAAATCAATCTGCATAGCTGGCTAATATCATGATTGAAGCATTAAAATGAAGAATAAAATTATATGTACCACTTTCTATGACATGTATCGTATATATTATCGATTAAGAGAAAAGAAGTTATGCATTAAAGATGTATATGACAATACAAAAAAATGCTTTATTTATTTATTTGGCATTTTTTTAAGTAAATTATTTTATCTTCTCCGACAATATACCAAAAATTTTATAACAGTCAGTTTGTGTGTTCAATACTTTGATCCATTATGGAGCCATATTAACACATTTCTCTGAATAAAATGGTTGGCTTTATTATGAATTAAATTCTCTCTAATTTGCTAATCGCTATAGAAAAGGATCTCTGTAACTGGTCTCGAAATCAATATCATGTTTTATTAATAAGTTATGAATAATGAATGAATGTCTTAAATATAGCTAGTTGATGAACGAAGAATTAACCACGTAAAACAGTGAACAATGTTTAATTCTCTCGAAATGTTGGTCGAACAACATAACTACTCATGAATGATGTAATCGAACTTTGATATACGAATTGGTTTTTATATAAGGAAATCCTATCTGATCAATTTAGATTGTCAATCAAAATATTCTAAATTTAATATACACGCTTTAAGATCAAATCATGGTATTGACCGGAGACTTTGAAAGTTATATAGAGAAGCTTCTTTTGTACATTCCTAAAAAAAAGTTCGAACGAAAAATGAAGTTCTATCCATCAATCCAAAATGGATTGAAAACATCGTCTCAGCTCATTATTTTTATCTAGGAGGTGAATAATACACATAGAGCGAATTCGAATAGGAAATATTTCTTTTTGCTTTAAAATAATATATTTGTTAACTCTCTACGTGATTTTGTTTTAAAAATACAAATGATATCAAGATACTTAGCATCTATTTCTTATACACAAAAAGAAAATGCGTTTAAACGCATTTGTTCTTATGCTATAAGAACACACCCGAATCAACGCGCTTTTCATTATGTTTACATGTGTTCTGTCTTTGACTCTCACCAGCATCTATATCACAAATTTGTTTCTACACGAAATGTCTATTGTTTTCACAAACAACCGACAAAACAATTTATAGTTATTAATGCTATAGTACAAAAATCTGTTAAAGATACAAGAGAAATTGTTTATTATACAGAAGTTATTTCTATTTTCTTTCTATCCAAAATGCAATATGATTTTCTGATATAAATCGATGAATATCAACAATATATGGAGGTTCAGTGGTTATGATAATTTCATCACCCGTCTTTATATCAGTGACTTCCTGATCTTTTTCGATAAAATCAAAGCGTAAACATTTAAGTCGAACTTCATTAATATGAGCAAAAATAAAATCAATCCATTTGAAAATATTGCACCATGTTGATAATATATGCTTACACAAAATGAAACGTAAACATTGTAATTGAGGAAAATGATGTTTATCAATGACAAATGAAAGAAGTGGTTCCATGATTTCTTCGTTTAGGCTTCTGTTGATAATGGGCGAACAGTCAATATAGAGTCGATCAATACGTCGAAAGAAACTATTGAGATATTGATTGTCTCGATTGTTCATGAACCAATATTTCAATTCAGTCGAATTAACATAAAGACATGTTATATTCGGTAATAAACGAAGCCAGCCAATTAATTCTACAATTAAAAAAAAATTGCACTGAATTCGACAAGTTAATCCTACAATAGCTGTAACTGTCAACTATATCTCACACTAATATAATTGTTGTCTAGCTATGTTTTGATTATGAGTCGTGTGAACGTATGACATCACTCAAATAGACTGCAAACATTTTTAATTAGTGGAAAAAATCCACGACAGTTAGAAAGAGTCATTTCCGTAGGTGAAGGTTCATGATAATAGATATTATTTCGAATCTGATTTGGCATCATGAAATAGGTACACCAAAATGTTTATTTCTGTTTTATTCTCAGCTTTTCATTCTATTAATAGTAATCTGTAACTCCCAACGAGTAAAAGTTCGATGCGAAATATTTCGCAATGAAAATAAAGTTTTTGTTATATTTTGACGTGCTGATGCCGAGTATGAACTTTTTTTTCCATGTAAAATCAACTGTTAATAATCAAAATCGCACAATATGATCGATTTTCATGATACTTTTCTATGGATGTATGACTCTTTCCTAATGTATTGAGTTATTTTTTGTCTTATTAAAAATATATAAGGTCTAGTCCGATGATTTCATATGTTCACACTATACATTATTAAAAAAATAGTTAAACAAAAAGATTAGTGGGATACGAGCAGTATAGCATATAAACTCTTATATTAATGCCAGCTTGTTTATAAATATACAGTCCTGGAAAAAAATTCTGGGACATTTGAGAATGTTTGTGCAAAATTTTATACTTCGCTCGAGTTAAACTTTATATATATGGTAAGTGTAGTTATTGCTCAAGCTTTCATATTATGGCATACAAACGCAAAAGTGTGCGTTTATATGACAGTATATGAAAGCTTGAGCAATAAACTACACTTANTCATTTAAAATTTCTATAGAAGATTTTGTTCGTAATGTTATTTTACAATTATCAATATAACCATTAAAAGAATTTTTTATTAAACCAATTTTTGATGCACCTATTTCAATAATACCATTTGTAATTTGATAAGAGTTTGCATTTAATTTAATGTTATCTTGTATCCCATTAATATATAATATTTGTTCTTTTGTATTATAATTATAAATAAATGCAATATGATACCATGTATTACTTATTAATATAATATTACTAATTAAATCATTATTTTTAAAACTTACAAATAAATGAAATGATCTAATAATTAAATAAAAACATTGATTTGTACATGTTGAACATTGACATTGACTAAATATACCATAATCTTCGGTATTATTTATAATTGGATAAATCCATAATTCAATTGTAAAACTTATTGAATTCAAATTAAGAAATGGTGTTGAAACAAGAAAATATTGATTTAATGATGATAATAAACTAAGTCCTCGACCTTGTCCTATATATGGTTGATTTGATAATATTGGAGTATATGAGGGATTATTTATTAATATTCCATTATAAATATTATAAAGATCGTTTGTTATACCATCGAATGACCAATATACTTCACTCATTGTTGCATCTAAAACTATAATTCAAGATTATATAAAATGAATTCTTAGAAATCATCTTCTGTATTCCGTAAAATCTCATTTCATTATATCGATAAACTAAATTCTTACTATTTAAATCTTGTGTTGCTGTGTTTGTCGACGTTGTTCTTTTATTGATTAACGTTACGCAAATTGGAATAATTATAATTAAGATCATAATACCCGTTATAATACCTATGATTAGACCTCGAGAAAATGGCGATAAGGATGACCAATAGTTCCATAATTTAGTTGGAAATTTCTCTCTGAAAAACCTCTTATTTAACTTTTAAAAATTTCACTATAAATAAATTTGTCTACTTTTTTAGTTCAGAGTTTTGTGGATGACATTGATTTTCTTGTATAGATTGGATATTATTTGAATTAATATCATTTTCAACATTGATTCCAACAGAAGATTGACGCTGATTGATACTTTTTACAGTATCTGACCATATACTCAACCGGGGATGTACCGAAGCCAATTCTATCATTGGTACTGTTTTTCGTGCAACATTACGCTTCATTTCCTCAACATATATTTGTGTCCAATACACAAAAAGAAACAAGTATTGTAATATTTCTTTTATTATTTTATAGAAGCAAATACTCAGACTCTAATCTGCATATTATTAATATTAGTAATGATTCTGAAATACAAAAGAACACAGAATTATTTTTAAAAGTACATCTCTCTCTCAAAGAAATACTTTTTTAAAATTAAAATCATCTCGATATTTATAGAATGGAATTTGTTTCTGGATAAGCATTCATGCTTTTTATATTTATTGGAATAAGTATGGAGTTATATTAACTTGTTTAAAATGGCAAAGAAAAAGTATATATTGATCAGATAAGATACCTAGCTTTAGTAGTATTATATGAAAAATAATTCATTTTGATATTGGATAAATATCAATATTCATTCGGAAATTATTCATGTCTAATGGAATGATTTGATAATAAAGAATCGCAAATAATAATCAGAGCTTTGATCGAGTCATTTAATTTTGTATTTGTCGAATTTTTTTTTCTTACTTACTTACATATATTCTAATCGGTCATCCAATATGCATTTCGTCACATCGATTTCGGATTCCGATAGGCATCGATATTTCAAACAGTCCTCGGATTGCCACTTTCCGATAGATTGAGAGATCGGTATTAGGTCGTTTTTAACAGCAGTTTCCGACCACTCGAACGGTCATTTTCATGGGACAGAGGGGGTGGCGATCGGAATTTTTCGACAATAAAAAAAAATGATTTTGTTCAATAGATATCTCAATTTCGAGTAGTTGGAATCTATCAAGTATATGCGGGAAAGGAGATTTAAACATGGGTACTCTAGATTCCCGATCGTCGAATAGTTGATGTAAATATGAACTATTATTCTTACATCAAAATCATCTTTTCAATTCATAAAAAGATAGAATTTTAAAATTTTATTCGTGTTTTCTAACTTCTGATGCTATTTTTTGAAAATTGAAAATAATGTTCTTTTATCAAGAAAAGAACAACTTTCTCACATCTCTGAGAGGCATACGAGCTTTTTTTTTATTTGAGATTCCTTATAAATTGCTTATTTAATCAATATGACATATGATAATGAATTAATTTGCACAGCGAAGCATGCAATGAATATTTAGAATTTTTTTTTTAAATTCATTATGACTGTGTCTTAGACAAAATCACAAATGGATTTTGGTCTTATTTTCAATCAGTAAATAATAAATATTGTTCAGAAAATTATGAAATTAAGGTAAATTACCAAGCGAACATAAATCATTGTACTCAGATTATTGAATAAAAGCACGGAATATTTCAAAGTTGGATTTTGAAGAATTGCTTGATGAAGATTATATTCACCGGTCAAAACTGCTATTATGACGGATTTGACTCTACTAAACCACTCGAAAGTATCATTTCCACATATTTATTTTAATCAAGCGATTGAAAGTTCGATAGGTTTCTACTGAATGCAATGTGTTCAAACAGTCGTCAGTGTTCTTTCGATAGATGTCTTTTCTCCAAGTACTCGAAACTTTAATAGCTGCTGAAGAGGTTCGAAATTAAAACAGAATGAACAAAAAGTATATATTCCAAATTTTCAAACAATCCTCGCGCTCATCATATACTTTTCTGTCTACTTGCTATGTCTTTTTACGAACTATATGTTCATTATTGTACTTATTGTCATAATAAGAATATTTACAATCGTTGTCGTTATATGATGAACCAAATATCTGTAAAAATAATGTATTAATATTCTCAAAAAATTGGCACTTCGTCTCATTTTCGAAAAAAGCCTTTTTAGGCGACTAATTTCTTACTCCAAAAAATGTGGGAGAAAAGACACAAATATATGCTAATGTAACGAAGACTTAGAACATTTTCAATATGATTCGATAATACAAAATTTGATGATGAAGAGTATGCCCGATGATTGTCTTTGTTGATCGAAAAAAATGTGTGAAGAATAAAAAACAAATTCATTATTATATGTGAATATTATATTTTCTTTTCTCTTAGAAATATAAGCAAGTTGACAATATATTATTGAAATTTTTGTGACAATTTCAGTTAATCTTTTGTAACTTTGCCAAAAAAAGACGGCTCTTCTCGTTCAGGACAATCTCTACAAAGATTTCAACATATTTATCTTTATTTGATGGAATAGTTATTACACAGCCAAGAAATTTTCGAATTCAAATGATATTTGAAAACTTAATCATAATTTTCATAATAAAAAAAAGAAGATAGTAAAACAGAGCCTTTGTTTCACATAATATTGATATGAAGCATTTCATACACTGTCAATTATTTCAATAGTAACAATTGTCCTTATATCTTGTTGTCGATAAATAATGTCGATGCGAGACTTGAAGGTACTCGGTTAAAAATTGAATAAATCAACAATGTAAGTAGTTAATAATACACAATTATCATTAGTTGATAGAGGAGTGTTGGGAACATAAGTATACAGGAAAAGTTAGGGAATCGAAGAAAAGACAAATACAATCTGCTGGTTCTCAACGTTTGCTTTTCAGCAATCGATTATTTTGTCGAAGTTGAATGATTATTAAAATAATAAGACATTGTAATTTGTATCAGAAATAATTTTAAAAAAATGCAGAGTTCAATTCACCAACGCATTTCGTGTTTTTTATTTAAATATGTCTAAAGGGTGTCCCATAAGTTCTGGGCCTCGACGAAAATTAGTTTCTATATAAATAAAGAGTGACCAATACCTAACTATATTTATATGAGCTTCGAGTCTTGAAGACGCTCTTTAGAATGGCATATTATGAGATGACATTTCGTCAGCTCATAATGGTAATATGAGCATGAGAATGGTGATGATCAAAACCTTTGAATCGACCAGTGTGTTTTCAAGACATTTTAATGGACTACAAACTGATTGTGTGTATAGAGAAAGAATCATAGAAAGTAATACGAAGTATTGCGGCCGCTTTTCTGATCGATATTATGAAGCACTACACGCGTTTTCACCTAACTTATACCCCAGCTGAGCGAATCATGAACATTTGACAACAGAACGAAAGAAAGTATTCCGTTCTCTATTTGGAATATTGTTTTCTCTAAGCATACTTTATTTACATTTTCTGTTCAGTTTGAACAGTTCATTTCGTGCATTTTTGTCGAGTATATCAAGAATACTTCCAAATAATCACATGTTGATCTGACCATGTAATTGTTTATCATTGTTATTTTTTCGATTTATTTTGATTTGAACATTTTATTATTCATTATTAATATTTTTTCAATTTAATAAGACCTTTCTTTTATTTCACATTAATACGAACTTCTAGCAAATCAACTATATCTTATTCTCGATCATTGAAAACACACTGGTCGATTCGAACGTTTTGATCATCAACATTCTCATGCTTATATCACCATTATGAGTTGACGAAATGTCATCTCATAATATGCCATTCTAAAGAGTGTCTTCAAGGCTCGAAGCTCATATAAATACACCCATGTGATTCGAACCGGAAAAAAACCGGCGGTATACCGCCGGTAGACCGTTCGGTATAATGTGCGCTCTACCGGCGGTTAACCGGCGGTTTTGCCGGTAGTTGCAAAAAAACCGGCGGTATACCGGCGGTTCACCGCCGGTATTTACCGGTAGTAACAAAACAACTGGTGGTATACCGGCATGATTAGGATANAAATTTTTTTTTGATAAACTTATCTACGAATAATTAGGCACTATTCGTAATTAGTATGACGAAAGAATCTCATCAAATGATATAATATATTATTCATTGATTAATTAGAATTTTTTTTTCGACGAAACGGGAATAGTCGTTTTTTCATTTTCGACGAAACGGGAATGGAAGAAAAATACATTTTCGACGAAACAGGAAAATCAATTAAGCTTTCGACGAAACGGGACCTAATCACATTGACGAAGTTATAACTTCGGCAAGAAAAATCGTCGAAGTTATAACTTCGGCACGACATATATATATATTACATATATAGATGATGAATATATATGTCAGACCCGATTTTTTTTGGCATTAGCTTAAGTACACAAGTCAATATCGATTACAAAATCAAAAACAAAATATATTGGAATATTTAAATTTAGAAAACATTTTATTTAACTCTTTCAAATTTTGTCATTCCAACAATCAAATCGTCAAGCTTATACAATATATCTATTTACTATCAATAAATAATCATTATTTACAACTGATGAATTAGTCTTTTTGTATTCTTTAACAAAACATACTATGAATAAAACTCTTTGTATGTCAATGAATTATAGACACAAATTGAATAGACATAGCTAATGCAGATACTATATTATACATAGATGTAGAATAACAACTATAAATGACTCTACACCATCAGAATACATTTATGTTTCTTTTTCTATTACTCCTCTTGTTTTCAATATTAAATAATAGATAGAAAAAAATTAGGCGAATTAATATCGTCAACATATCTTTTCTGAATGTGTTTATTCCATATACAAAGATAAATCAACAATCGACCTTATTTTTCATTTTATTTCTTCGTCAATATTGTTCATAGACTGCTTATTCTAGAGTATATAATAACATATTATCTAAGAATTGCTTTGTCATTTGATACATTCTCTACACATAAATAAACTGAATCAACTTGCTATTGTCATCTTTTTCTCTCGTCATTAATACAAATGGATACATATGCATGTTTGGAAGATTTATCAAATGAAATTTTTTTCGAATTATTTGATTACTTACATGCACTTGATATTTTTACTGCTTTTGCTTCATTAAATAAACGAATTTCATCTATTTTACAATCAATTGCACTTCATGTTATCATCTTAAACAATCATTATGATCAAGAAATTAATTTTCTTTCTTCTCATCTTACTTTTCATGCTCATCAAGTCATATCATTAAAATGTTATGATACAATTCGTGATCGTTCATCTATTATTAGTTTATTATTTGATCGACATCATTTTATTAATCTTCAATCATGTATATTTATGTTGGATAAACCATCAAATCAATTTGAAAATGTTCTTAAACAAATTGAAAATTTGAATAGACTTGTTTCATTTTTTGTCATACAACCAGATTATAAAAAAATCAGTGAGACAGACAAATGTGATATAACTCGAACTACATTCATGAATACATTGTCTTCTCTTCGTTCAGTTATGCTTCGTTATAATTATAATTACTCCAACATATCAACTTATACTTTAAATGCTTCGAATCTTATGTCACTTGATTTGTTAATATCTGGCAAAGTAAATACAGTATCAATTTATTCAATTTTGCCAATTCTTCGTGTTTGTCATAAAATACGATATCTACATGCCATAATAAATGAAGAAATTCCATCAAGGAAAACTTTTTCGTAAGTTCCAATGAAAATATTTCACGAATATTCCTTATAAAACAAGATTGAAAATATAATCTTTCCTTTCTTTTTTCTTTTAGTGTTAAAGTTCAAGAACCATTTATTTATGAAAATGATCTTGTTATATCGCCACAAATCAAATCTTTCCATTTATCAATTTCTGTTGAATGTAGCATTCGTTCAATCGGTTATATCTTACGTTGTATGCCTAATCTTATTCATTTTAAATTTTATCATGAAGCACGAACAGTACAGTGGGAGAATGCTCAAGATTTGGTAAATGGTTATAAATGGCAAAATATGTTTGAAATACATGTTCCATTTTTATCTAAATTTGATTTTCATATGTCAATTCAGAAATATAATCCAAAATTGGATTTAGATATGATCATAAATTCATTTGAATATTTTCTTAAAAAATATCCCGAATGGCAAATGATTATTGATCGATGGAAAACTTATGCCATATATCCAGGTAAGTAAAATCCCTTTAAATCGGAAAGACAAAATACAGAAGACTTGCCGTCAAGTAGAAATGCAATCAGGAGATAAATTTCAATCTATTTACTGTTTCTACCTTATTACAAGCAATGTACCGACAAAAAAAAGTATTCAGAAGATGAAAACAACTTTCGGTGGAGAGCCTATGGTACGATTCCCACTTCAGTAGGATTACGTATTCGTGCAATTTTTATAAAAAAAAAAAAAAACATAAAAGTAGCTTTTTTAGTAGTTGATAGTTGTATCTCAGTGATAATGTTAAACAAGAATTTGCTTTCTTGTTCGACAGAAACCACTTCCATAAAGGACTTGACAAAGTCTTTTTGTGTGAAATCTTATATGAAAGAAAGAGCGCAGAAGTTCAAGTAGTCGAAGAAAGTCAGTAGAAATATACTTTTTTTATAGACTTGCTTTGAAATATGATAAAAATATTAATTAAATCTAACAAGTGGGTTCTGAAATTAAACATGCTCTTTCAAACAAAACAAAACAAAACAAAAATGTTATTTTGTTTAAAATCAAATTTTCTCTGCGATTCTAGGTGGCGAGATACAAAAAAAACGACAAAGATCATTTATCTGTAATTGCCATATATTTGGCTTTGTTGAAGAAAATGATTACTTCTTTATAATAAAGCTCGAAAGAAATATTCAAAAAAAAAACCGTGATACAAATAATGAATTAATCAACTAACAGGTTGATTATGAAATTCTCTTGTCTTAGACTTTTCAACCATATATTCTATCTACCTGCAAATAGTTTTCGATAACAAAAATCGACTTTTTGTTACGAATAAGAAAGAAATATTCATAAAATCTTAAAAGCAATGCATAGATAACCAATTATTTGACAATGAAGACTCAAACATTAGTGTATGAGAATCTATGTTATCCCGAAATTGAGTTTTTTAATCATACAGTTTTTTTTAGGAGAGTTTCTTATGTTACGCACGTTTGATTATCATAAATACGAAAGAAATTTACTAATCAACATTCCACTTATCGATGATGAATCATTTGAGATACGATCAACAAAAGCAACAACAAATGATCATTATCTTTACTATTCAGATATAAAATATTTCGAATTAAGTTTACCAATGAGAACACCAAGAATTAATTGTTCTTTTCCTTTATTTCAACATATCAATTCTCTCATGATAAATATGCCAATAATATGTGCATCATCGTCAAACAATTCATTGAATATCGGTAAGAAGAATATATATTTCTTTTAAATACTGTAGTTCAATTGATGAAAATGAATTTATCATTTTTGAATTTGTTTTAAGTGAATATTTTTTTTGATTTTTAATTTATAGAGATAAATTTTATTTTGATTATTCTTTTCGTCATTTTTATTCATTATCTTTTTTCTTTTAGAGAATTCTTTTCAATCAAATGAGAATGATTATACACAACAATGTATTACTGGTCTTTCAAAGATTGTTTATTTACCCAATGTAAATCAAATTGAATTTGAAACATCTGATGATCCAGATGAATGGAAATATATTCAATTTATTCTACAGTAAGGACACTTCATAGTGATGGACAGTCATTTTTGTTTTTCTGTTTCGATTTCTAAACGTATGAGTTAATTTTTCATAATTCTAATATGTTTTTCTCAATTAATAATATCATTTTATGTCTGACAGATGATATTCGATTCTATAGAATAATAATCATTGACAATAAATATAAATATATTAAGTATATTTTATTTTATTTTATTTTTTGTTGTAGTGCATGTCCAAATGTGATTAATCTTAAAATTAGTTCTGCATATTGGATTTTATCAGAATTTATCGATAATCAATTTCTTATTTCAATTTTCAAACAAATTAAAATACTTAAATCAATAAGAGAAAATCGTTATATTCCTTCAAATTTTCTATTAAAACTTGTTGAACGTTTTCCATCAATTACTAATATTGAATTTGAAATGTTTTCATTTGATGATTGTATATCTGCTATTGATATATTACTTAATTATCTAAAAGATTTGTCTTATCTTAAAATTTATTATAGTCAAGATTCATTACTCGATTATCCTTTTTCTCGTAATTATATTATTGATAAACGTCGTCAAGCATTTAATATTAATATTATCAATGAATATAAGGTTATAGTTAGCAAGAATAGAGAATCTGTAGAAATTAGATTATCATAATTTTATATGTAAATAGATTTATTTTTCGTGTAAATAAAATTTAAATAAATATACGTTGTTTAAGTCATTTTTATTTGTAAGAATAAAGATTACTTCTGATTTTTGTTTCAGTTTACAAAAGTTAGATGAATATTCAGGTAAAGTTTATAGATTGTTTGAAATGTTTTTAAAATAAAATATTCAAAAATAACTATAACATTTGATCATTTTATTGTATCATTATTCTATTCAATTAAGTATATGTAAATATATTTCGATTAACTACAAATTGAAAACTAGGTTTTTGTCTGAATATTTTTACATAATCAATATGCATGTCAATGATGATGATGATTGAATTGTTTATGTGTATGAAGGTTTTTGATGTTTCATTGATATTTGAAAATATTTCAATATATTTACTTATTCTTATAATTTATTGAGCGGGTTAATCGAGAGATTTAATTGATATAATGTATTGTAATAATTAGCCATACAGTGCGAGCTGAAAAAAGCCTGGTCGTTTTTATTTTTGACACGTATAAAAAATTACAAATACAAAAGTTGTTTATATTTGGTAATTATATCACCATCATTTCCGATTATTGTTTGCATTCATTTTGCATATCCAGCAATGTGAGTTTTTGCAATATTCTTGTAATTGTCTGATTTCCATATTTGTGAAATTATTTTACTCATATGAATCAAAATATAATGGGAATCAACCAAATGTGTATTGCTGCCCATTCCATCACTAATTTGACTTTGAAAAGTTCCAAACATTGATGAATGCAATATAGAACAATCGTGAGAATAGGGAGGATAGCCACCGTAAACCTGATGATGATATCCAGCGGTTCTAGATAATTATATTTCGTTGCTGGATAACAGTTCTTGAATTTTTAATGTATGATTGAAACTTACACAATCTGACATCAAAATTTTTGAATTAGTTGCTTTCATAAATGGAATAACAATTTCTTAAACCACGTAAGTAAGATTGTTCTTTTACTGGTTCAACAACCGATGTTTCAACTTGTTTTCTGGGGCGTAATTGTGGTTTTCGATGTAAATATACGTCACAGCCATACTTATGTGCAATAAACATACCATGAATGCATGGATTAGATTTTTGCAACTATTAAAGGTCTTACTGGTTTTGTTGACCCTTTTCTTCTGCACTGCCCTTGATGTGTCCAATTTTGACCATATGCATACGTTTTTTGTGATCAAGAAATGTAATGTTTCAAAGACTGGTTTTAATCTGCCACGTCTATTCAATAATGGTAGAGCGAAATTAAGTATTTTGGCAGAGACAAGATTGTTATGATTTTTTTCTTTCTTCGGTGGTTCTTTCCGTGTGACTTTGTTTTTTTGGGTGTGGGTGTGAGTGCGTGGATGTGGATGTGGGTCACAGTGGGCAACCAGGCGGACATGACCGAAAGTTCTATTTTCTAAAGTTCAAATATTGGAATGAATACATCTATGGTTAGTCCATCTTACCCTAAAACTAGATTTCCAGAAATCAAGTCAAACCCTGGAAAAGTCCATGGTCAAAAAGTTTGTTCATAAATCGTTAATTATACGGAGAAGATTTTTTTTATTGACTTATTAAAATATTTTAAAATGAAAAACTATCTCAAACGAATGATTGACCCATAAACTTCATTGTGTGAAAAAATTATTTCGATCTAACAAGAAATGGAGTAGAAAAAAAGCGATTACTGGACCGAAAGTAGGTGCAAAATTCGGTCGTACCGTATTTTGTGAACTCCCAAAAGGTTTTTAATCCGATTGAGCTGAAACTTTCATCAATGATTCTCATATATGTGATTTATCGTTGGCCATAGCGCCGTATAGTACTAGTGAACAGAAACGGTGCTAGTGGTTTCTTAAAAAACCAGGCTTATGCCCAGGAATCGTTAGTTTTTCGAATACGGAGGTATTTTAATGCAAAACCAAAGTGATATTCGGAATCAGCTCGTCGAGCTGCATCGAATCATATATAACAGTAAATTTTTCTCAAAAAAAAGTCGATTCCTGTGCCCAACAAGGTTCTTAAAACCAGTCTTTTCGTATTTTGTAAATCCCCGAAAGAATTTTCGTCCAATTGATCTCAAACTTTCACTAAGTACTCTTCCACGTCTAGTTCATCGTTGGCCATAGCGCCATTTCGCACTGATGAGCACAGTCGGTGCTATGGGTCTCCCAAAAACTGAGGTTTTTGCCCTCAAATCTCTATTTTTGGAAACAAGGCATCGTTTTGGTGAAAAATCAAGATGATATTCGGAATCATCTCATCGAGCTGCATCGAACCATATATAATAAAAAGGGTTTTTTTGAAAAAACGTTTTTGACTATTATGCTAAAATGTTCCTACAAATTGGCTTTCTCGATTTTGTAAACGTTACAAACAGCTTCAATCGAATTCAGCTCAAACTTTGAGTGAATATTCCTCCATGTAGAATCTCTCCTTATCTATACTGTCAAAAAGCATTAGTAAACATCGACGAAGCTACGGGTTTCCAAAAAACCCTGGTTTTTGACCCTAAATTCCTATTTTTTCCACCAAATAACTTCCTAGCGAAAAAATAAGTCGATATTCGTAATCAGCACGTGAAACTACGTCGAATGATATGGGGAACATTATGTTTCATAGCAAAATGTTTTTTCCAAAAATGTGGCAAGGGTTCCCTACGGGTAATTTTTGGGGAAAAATTGTTTCTTCAAGACATGGTTTATTCTTTTAAAGATGATTTTCTAAGTGATATATAATCAGTTCAGAGCAATAAAAACCCATTGCTGAGCACGAAAATTCCATGTCCGCCTGATAGACGAAACTTGCCCACTGTGTGTGTGTGTGGGTGTGGGGTGTAGGTGTGTGAGTGTGGCTGACGGTGTGGGTTTCATCTGTTATTCACACCAACATCCAAACTCACATCCAAACTTACTCTCCCACCCACACCCCACACCCACAACCACACATCCACACCCACACCCTGTTAACTCTAATCTGATTGTCAACATATTCTTATAGGTTCGTTTCTTCAGTGATGAGAATGGGAAAAAATTAATTGAATTCAATCGTTTGATTTAAAAGTTTTTGATGTGTAGCTTTAGCAGCTAATATAAAGTTATTAAATGATGTTGGATTAAATCCCAGTATTGTTTTTATGCTTGCAATGAAATTATTTGAAATAGTTCGCACTGATGATGGTTGTATAGATGCATACGTATTATATTGTAGTGTTTTGCCAGTTCCAGAATATGCTGACAGTCCTTTCGGATATAGATTTAGGCATAAAAAAAACACTTGAAATTTTCAATTTTATAAAATCCTTTTCTTTTTCTAGTTCGTCACCTTGTAAGACGCTTAAAGTTGTACTCAATTCAACTTAGTATTGAATAAAAACTAGAGTAAAAAACATTATTAAAAATTCTTATTATTTTATTTAAATTCGATTGTCAAACTTGAATCTGATGGTAATATAATGGAAAATGAATACAGTACATACAATACTTCGAAGAACTTTAAGTTATAAAGTAAAATCCAAAGAAAAACATTTAATTAAGACATTTACGTTAACAATCTAATGATGATCTTACATGGAAAGATTTAATATGTGATTTAGTAAAATTACAACGCGATTCACCAATCAATAAAATTCATTCTACTATTGTTTAACAATTACAAAATAAAAATCAATGACGAACTATTGAACAGTAAAAGAATTCCAGTCCACTGGATGTATTAAGTGTTTATTTATCTAAACGTTTATCTTATGAACCTAATCAGCGCGATATTGTTATTCTTCATTATCAAGTTGGTGTTACATCAGCATCATTATCCCTAGTTGAAAGCGAATTGAAAATTGTAGATATGGTTGTTTATGATGATGAAAAATATGATGTTATGACAAAAACAATTGTTTTACCAATTTTTATTGCTACTCAAATGCTTCTTGAAGATATATCTGTTCTTTTTTTAAATAATCATTTCAATGAAATTTTTCTCTGTAACTAGAACAATAATATATTATAAACACAAATCAATGATAAATTTTGCTTTGCATGATTGCTATTTAGACGAGAAAGAAAATGATTAATGATGTTTTATTTTTCCAACGAAATGATGTTATCGACCCTTTCTTTTACATGTTACTAAATGCGGAATTTTTTAAAAAGTTCTAACGACCATTTTTTGAATAATTTTTCAATGATACAAGCTATAGAGATCGGATTTTCACCGTCAGAAAGAGCAAGGTGGAGGACGTCGATCTGTATAAGATTCATTAGATTCAAAGTCCTTTTGTATAGTTTTTTGCAGTGAGATATCTTATTTCTCGTCTATCTTCATTAGTTTTCGTGGTAAGCTCACATCCAATTAGACCAAAATGTAGTCTAAACCGTCCTATATTTGTGCTAAAATTTTCAAATCTTTATGCTTTACTCTTAAGTTTGTTTCCTTAAGCTTTGGTGTTAAAATAAGAAAATTTTAATGCAAATACAGGACGATTTAGGCTACATTTTGGTCTAATTTGATGTGAACTTACCATGAAAACTCATGAAAATAGATGACAAATAAAATATCTGACTGCAAACAGTAAAACAAAAGGTCTTTGAACCTAATGAATTTTATACAGATCGACGTCCTGCACCTTACTCTTTCTAACTGTAAAAACCCAATCTCTATAGCTTGTACCAGTGAAAATTTATTCAAAAAAAATGGTCGTTAGTACTTTTTAAAAAATCTGGCGTTAGTTGTGAACAGTATCTATTTAACAATTTCATAACTGGCAATTTCAGCTGACTCAATTGAGATTCATAATTCTATCAAAAATCAACAGCATAAAATTGGGAATATAGCTAACAAAATGGTATTTGCTAGTTAGATGAACCTTTCTGTGATCTCTCATTATGCAACAAATGATCTGTAATGTTCATCTATTTAAAACAAAATAGACAATGAAATTCTTACTCTTGACTTGCAGAATTGTCTAAATCTGTAACAAGTGAATGCCCCCCGCACAAACTGAAAAAAAGAACTTCAATAACTGACCCAAAAGTTGAATATGTTTTTTTTTAGCTTAAGATGGACGAGTGTTTCCTTATCATCGAGAAAAATATCAGCCTGATTGATTAATGTAGATTAGACATATTGATTTTTTTATTGTTTAGTTATCATTCATGATCTATAATATTTTACCTGCTATGTGTCTCATTCATGTTGCTTTGATAGTGTCAATATTGTTATTAATTAACACCCACATATGATTTGCTGTAACATTAGTTATCTGTGATCTAATGAAAAATAAAAATTATGATCTTCAAACTAAAAGAAAAGAAAAAGTTCATACTCAGTTATTTGTTTAATTTTTTTCTGATCCTATTGACCACCAATATGATAGATAAAAATAAAGATATGGAAGAATAATTTCAACAATATATAGAGCATCTTCATATTTTACTCTTGGTTCAGCATATTCTTCAATATCTGATATTCATTTTGTTAAAATAGGAATTATTTTTGAAATATTTGTCATAACATCTAGTTAAATATGAAAATTATTTAATTCCATTCTTTTTATCATGAGCTTTCTAGTGATAATTGTGAAATATGTGATGCATTTTTATTATTTGCATTAAATTCAGTTTCAAAAAATGCTATAGGAAAAAATGATGATTTAATTCTTCAATAATCTATTCTCTTGAAAAATAAAACGTATAGCGTTTGTTATAAATTACAGATTTCAAAAATTGATAATTTTACCGATCAACAAATTTTCTTCCTTTTGTTCCAATAATCCATAAAGCATTTAGAATTTTATAACCTGTCAATTGAGTTTCATTTTCTATGAAACAAGATATCAGTGAGCTTATTCAAAAAAATTAACACTGAGATATAATCAATTTGTCTATCTATCTCAAAGATAATTTTTGCATATCTATGTATGTCTACACGTGTTCTAATAAGGTAATCGTGCAAAATGAGACGTTGTTTTTAAGCTTATATTGTGATAGTATTATTAGAGTTTCATCTATCTACCAAGGACAAAATCAACAAAAATCGTATTTTCGATGGATACTTTCATGCATAGCCAACAAGAAACAATACAAGGCCTTCTGACAACTTTTTTGTCAATAGAACTTTATAGAGCTCGTTACGCTGATCATTTTGGTAGAAAAATATTCAAATTTACTCAATAAATAATGCTACTACGGTCAAGATAGCGAACAAGTTCGACTATCCCTGAATGCTGCTGAGCGATAGGAAACAATTAGAGCAAAACCAGAAGGAATAATGAGATATCTTCAGAGATGAAACTTCTTGATAATGCATCGTTCTATAACAAAAATCTGACAAAAGATTTGTAATTCTGTGGAGAAGACATGTGAGTATGAAGAGGATGACCACTTAATGATAGAATAGCCGGAAATTTTTCTTCACAAAAAAATATTAAACTTTCTCTTAGAGAAAATACTACAGAAAATTGACGATTTTCCTTTGATGTTTATCAGTATTTTATTAAAATCTCTGGTAAGATCTCATATTAAAATAAGTAACTATCGGTTAGAGAATACGTATATATCGATCGTTCCATAATAAATAATCCGTGCATCATAAAAAAATGGTCTTAAAGATCCACTCGCATTAGAACACTGTGAAACATTACCACACAAAAACGATATTGAAGTTCTTCATCTAAATTCACAGGCTGAAGGTCAATGACTATCAAATTATGGTTTTTTTGTTTTAATAAACAAAACAGTGTAGGCGGCATACGCATTACACTTTACTACCATGAGTTAAGAAAAAGTTGGCTCAATTCATTGATAAAAGTAATTCTTATGAGACACACATCACATTCGTAAACTTATCATTTATTCTAATTTTAAGCTTATAATTCTTCTTATAAATGTCATACTTAATACATCTGCCTCATAATTATTCTTTCCTAAATGATCAAGTAATGATGAAAGTGCAGGTAAAAGAACCATGTATGTATATAAGCGAGACTAGTTGTTTCACGTTGTAATGTTTCTTTTATATCACTATAAGGTTTTCGTTAAAGATTTTGTAGAATTTGATTCAGACCTTCAACAATATTATTAAATAATGGTAATAAAAAAGTATGAACCATTTCTTGACTATTTTTCATTATGGAAATAAAATAAATTTTTGTCAAAACAAAAATGTCAATTTACAAAATAAACTACAACTCATTTCATAGCTTCTCTCAGTTTTGTAATTATGGTGGTAAAATAAAATAATTTCTATATGCTTGGAAATATTTTTCATTAAGTGGTAGAACAATCTAGAATCCATTCATTTATTTTATTTCAATTAAAAAATTTCATTTATATCTTTCTTTTTCAAAAAATTCAATATCTGTTGTTGTTAAATGATAATTTTCATATAAAGAAAGTTTAGAACTTTCTTTATAATTTCACATTGTTGTTGATGCACGTTCAACATATTCAAATAATTGTTCTAATAAACTATATGTAAAACATTTATCATTAATTAATGCTGACATTGAGACAACACCTAATGTTAAATTTGATTCTGTTGTATTTGTTTCATGAACAGTTCTAAATAAATTTATGAATATGTAAATTTTTATTTTTAGTGTATTTTACTTGAAAATATGATAATCAAACGTATAAAGATATTTAACTAGATCTTGATAAAATTTTAAATCTTTTTGTTTTACTTTATCAGTTAACAATTCAAATGGAACAAATCGAAAATGAAGACTACCATGCCTAAACAATATGAAAAACTAGATCTGAATTCATTGTCACACAATTAAAATCCCATACATTTTTATCCTTGAAAAATAAAAGAACGAATTGACTTATTTTACTTGTTTATAAATTGAATTAAGTTTTATTTTTTTGGTTTTTTCGATGTAATAGTTTTGTAGCAATATGTGTCATACCTGTATCTGTCTATTCTAAATGAAATTGTAATTTTTCAATAGACTCTAATGCTTCACGAAAAGGTAAAGTAAAAATCAATAGAAATATATGATTTTAACCATTCGATCAAGAAGTTTGTAGGATTTTAAATTCGGATGTTGGCGATATTTGTCATTAATTTGTTTACCCTATGTCCAAACTTGTTCGATCTAAATCAAAAAAAAATATATAACTGTAAAACATATTTATTTTCTAATTTACTTCAGTAGAAGACTATTGATCATGAACATTTTCAGCATAAGCTTAAACAAAATCTTCTAAAAATTCGATGTGCCAACTGAATTAGGTTTATAACTAACAGATATTCCAACATTTTCTCGTGTGTAATTTAAATGATCTTGTTGAGTTATTGAATAAACATAGTCCGGTGATAGGGCATTACCAATTGCTATTAATAAGAGAATATACTTAAATATTTCTCGAAATACATTCATCATATACTTACCTGTTAAACATGGCAGAGGTTTACCAAACAATTCGAGATCATACGCCCGAAATCAAGTCAACAGACTTTTGTTTCATGATATAACCAAAATAGAAAGAAATCTTAGCACCACTATGTCATTAGAACAATGCTCCAGTTCGAATGTTAGACAATCTCTCTTCGTATAGATCATATCGTAGGGTGTGAGTGTAGGCGTGAGTGTGAGATTCTTCTATTCTTTCTGTCCCCACATCCTCGAGTAATGTTAACTCTGGAGTCGACAAGAATAAATTTGATCTTGAGATTTTCGTTTTTTCTATTTCTATTTAATTTTTCATAACACTCCGAAACTGAAGGCTAATTATCAATAGGTTGCTACTACTCCCATACATATTTCAAGTTTTTCTTTAGAAATCTGTACAGTAACGACACTCAATAACGTTACAAAGGTGTATTCTGCAACGGAATGCTCAATTATATGTTGACATCGTAGAAAAGCACGAGTCTAACTAAAACAATCAATTGCGAGAGACGTTGAGAAGCAAACTCTAGTAATATTATCGAATATAAACATTGAACTAATATTCGACAATTATGCTGTCATAGCATTGAACACATATTTACAAGTAATCATATTTTAAGTTCTCGTACTCGAGAATATTCTGACTTACTCAGCTGTGCTAGATATAATTTAAATTATAACCAGAAAAAAATTATTTTTTCTGTATCTGAAAATTTCTCTCTCACGCTCATTTAATACAGATGAAGAATTAATAATTTAAATAACTTGTTTCATCCATTTTTATTGTTGAGTGACTTGAATAATATAATACAACTACGTAGGACAAGAGATAAAGTGGAAAAGTTGAAATTACTTGTTACATGAGCATGAGATAACGGAAGAATATCAATGACTAAATCAGTAACAAAGCACTCCAAATTTATAGACAATGCTAAAAAATAATTTCAAAATTTTATTTTGATAAAATTTTCTCAAAGCTCGATGATTTCATTCATCTCTAATTATAAAGTACACATTAACACATCGTGTAAAACTCAAGATGTCTTATTTTCTTCACATAAAGTTATTCGTTTTGGAATAAAGATTTTCAGAATGATTCAGTAATATTTATATATATGTTTTATACATGAATTAATCTAATTATATGCATAATAATATCGCCTTCGTCATGATTTTCATTCGAAACTGAATAATCTATTGGTGAATTGAATGAAATAATTGAAAAATTTTGAGTTTCATCACAAACACCTGGTCGAATAAGACAATCAGAAAATTGATGATAAATATTAGCAGTCTCAATTTCTTTCTCAATTATTGATCGATAAGTTTTATTTTCCTTTTTCATATTTTTCTTCATGAGAATAATTATAATGTTTTTAATCTCGTTCATACACTTGTTTTAATGTTATTGTTAAAAATTCATTTCGTTCAATTAATTGTGTATAATTTTGATGTAAAAGTAGATAAAATTGACTAAGATCATAGATTAATTTTGTTATTTTTAATAATTTAAAAGAATTAAGAACATGACGTACAATTTTAAGAGATATGTATGAATTTATTAGACAATAGAATTCCGTTTTTAAATACAGGGTGGCCCATAAGTAACGCAACCGAAAGAAAAAAAATTGAATATCTTCATTATGGCTCGAGCAAAGAAACTGATTTTTTTATCGCTAGTAAAGGTATGTTCACACTTCATATTCATAAAGACAAGGCAAGAGAGAACCTTTTTTAAGTACCACTGTTAACTTCAACAAAACAAATTTTTACTTTTTCACAGATAGGAAAAAAAAACAATATACAGGGTGATGCAAAAGTTACTTTACCGAAAAAGAATTGAATATCTCCATTACGGCTCTAGCAAAC